GGCTCGATTAAAGGCGAACATTCTGATTGCATGGGCGCTTTTGTAATTTTTACCATGTGGTAACGTGCATATGAACCAGTTTCCTTTTAAAACTCCTGCACGAAGGCATCCCTACCCTTAAGTAGATAGCCTTAGCGTGCTTTGGCATAATCAACTAAACTAAACCAACCCATGGAATTGGTTAGATTGAGTGCTGTCGTGGTGTACGTGGTGACCTAGCAACTAAAAAATCCCATGATTCGAATCCTAGCGAGAACCTAGTTGACGCCTCACATTTCTTTCTTCTAAAATTCCATCGATTTCTGCTGTGGCGCCGGAAATAAAAGGAGGCGGACGATAACTCATTACATCTTGTCCCCAGTCGTCTTATAAATGGAGTAGAATAAAAGAAAATAGCATTGCCTCGTTCGTGTTTCCGTGGTTCAAGTGGAAGCACGTCTAATTAACAACTGGAGGATCCTGTTTCGAATCTCAGCTTATAAGCTTCCATAGCTTGTAAGGCATTTTCTTCCTCCTTACCGCCTGCTCTCGTGTAATTGGAAGCAGATCCAGCTAACAATCGGGAAGTCCGGAGTTCGAATCCAGGGGATGACATAGCGGACTGTCTCACTTTTTCTTCTCCGAAATACAACTAATGACTCTAGAAGTGGCGCCCGAACTAAAATTTGGTGAATGATAATTTGACAACTGAGTCCTCTCCACACCTAATAGATCCTAATGGATTTGGCAACTGAGTCCCCTCCTCCCCAGTCGCCCTCCCCCTGTTAATCGCGTCTCTTTGTGGTGTAATTGACAGCCCTTCCAGCTATCAATCGGGATGTCCGTAATTCGAATCCTGGCCAGGGCGCAGCGAATTGCCTCACTTTCCTGCTCCGAAATAACCTAATGACTGTACTAGCTAATCTTTTGTGTTTCACACTCAAAAAAAGAGAAAGAAAGAAAACTAATTTCTTTACATCTTCCAGTTCCAGATGCCCTTTGAACCCACTAGCGGCCGAGCGGTAAAAACGTGACATTCTAGTAGTTCGATTCTATCGCAAATGTTAGGCAACCAAGTTGGCTGTACAGCAGTTTTTGTGCTTTTCCCCATGTGTAAAAGTGAATGCAACTCATTTTCTCTTAAAAAGAATTTTACGAAAGCATCTCTTGTCATTTGCCCCAATTTAAAAAATATAGTCAAATCCAAACGGTTTTAAATTTTCAGCCACCGCTACGGTAAATTGTTTCGATTGTGATTATTATTCATTCGTGTCACGACAACTTTTAAATTGTAGAAATGAAAGTTAGGTTTGATATATTTCAATAACATGTTTGCACATTAAGAAAAAGGTTGTTCTGCTGTTTTGGAAACAAAATGTGGTATTCTTGGTAAAAATAATAGTAATAATAATAAACAAAACTACAGGAAAAATATAAAAAATATCTAAGATTGTACTTGCTCAGTCTTGACTGAAAATTTAAAACAGTGATGCTATAGGGTGGGGAATTTAAAGCAATGAGCAAATTTGTTTATGCTTTTCTTCCTAATTCCGTTAAAAGAAGGAAGCTTTTTCCATGTACCTCATAACGAGAACCTCAAAACGAAAGCTTACAGCAAACAAATTTTCTCTTTCAAGCAGCTTAAAGAATATTTTGAATAAAGCAAATAATTTTTTTCCTAGCTTCCAGCTTCCTAACAGCCACCCCAAAAAAGTGCTTTTAATAAATATATTTTATTAGAAAACGTGTTGAATTAGCAAAGTCGCCATTTAAAATGCATTTCTCAATGAACACATTCCATAGAAAAAATACAGCTAAGAGAATTTTTTAAATAAATCAAAAAATTATTAATTGAGCGCATTAAGATGAGATATTATATCTGGCATCGGAAGCATTCCTGAAACTAACTCCTTTCTGAGAATGTCCCTTAAAAAAGGTGTTCTTGTAGAAAAATAAACTAAAAGAGCTTTGTTGGAACTTCAAAATGCTAGTGGAATCACTGTTATTTGATAAAAAGAGTCGAAAGAACGTTGGCAGATATAATGAAAGCAATGTGCCGTTTAATTCCAGCGATTTCACGAAAGAAGAGAGGCACCTTCTCGGAATTGTTTGTGAAAATATCTGCCTAGAGACAAAATTCTTTCCTTCTCGAATTGCACCTTCGGGATTTTCCCAACTACCAACTTTCCGACGTTATTACCTCGTCTGAAGACAAATGACCTAATAAATGATTATTAAAGTAAGAAACAATGTCGTATGCTAATACTTTCAGCACTATGAGGGCAAGATTATTTTCCCAAAAGTTTAAATATTTCGCGCAGTTCCTTCTCGTGTTGCAAAATTCAAGAAAACTTTACTTACTCCTCATATAAAAATGCCCTCGTCATACAAAAATGTCCTATTTAAACTTTAAAAAAATGAAGGAAAAGTCTAATGAAATGTGATGAGGCACTTTTTATTTATAATTATCGTGCCATAAATCTGAGTATGAAGAAGAAAGAGTATTATTACATTTGGTTGCCAAAATCAATTTTCTGCGAGTTACTTTTTTTTTTTTTTTTTTCAAATTTAAATGTCATTCATAAGCCAATGTTTTACATTCTGCTCCAAATAAAGGGCGACTGGAGAAGGGTAAGAGAGACAGTCGAGCAGATCTAGGTAGTGACGAGCTATCATCTGCCAGAATTTAGTTAAGACGTTGTTACTGTAGAGACGATTAGGTTTTTTTTAGATCAAGAAAAGTGAAAATTTTATTGTGCCGTCGCAGATATTCGAACTACGAATCTTTCAAGTTGCTAGTTGGATACAGTAACCACTTACATTATGAAAGCATTCACGAAGAAATATCGTAATTCTTTACACAACCTTAACTCCTCTGTTCTGATATTTGCCAGTTCTCATACATCTATTATTCCATTCAGCTTACGAATTGGTGTAAAAAAGAAATGCAGTCAAACCCTACTATAGAGAACTTGGTTATAATGCCCTTTCAGATAAAACGAATAAAACTTTTGGTCCCGTCCACACTTGGTGTTATTTTATACCTTTATAGTGAATCACTAGACGTATGGAAAATCAGATATAACGAAATCTATGAATGTCTTCTAGTGGTATGTTTTAGTATTTTTCAAAATTTTAGAACTTCTGCAAATTTTAACAGAAAAATTACGAACTCTTAAAATCATCTACGTTTAGTCAAACTGGATAGGGAAAGAACACTTTCACATTACTGTTTTTATCTTCACTCGTACCTTTATCTGCGCATTTAGCAAAGGCTATTTGAATCAGAGGAGATGTCCAGTTTTTGGAAAACCAGAACACGCAATAAGTATATCTCAGAAGATCACATTGCCTCTAAATGTGCATTTTAAAGGCAGAATCTGTTTCAAAGGAAAGATCTGTACCTTTACATTTATGCTATGTCATTTATCGCGTTAAAGTGTATTTTCTCCCTCTTTCCCACGTGCCTTTATGATGTAATTGGAAGCGCGTTCGGCTAGCAACCAGGAGGTCCGGAGTTCAAATCCCAATGACAGCAAAGCTAATTACCTGAAATTTTCTTCTCCAAAAAAATTCTAGATTCTGCATTGGCACCCGAACTAAAAAAATGGGATGGACTAAAAAATGTGAATCGTCACCACCAGGCTTTGGTGATTTAGTCCTCTCTCCACGAGGGATGAATTAGGGGAGAGTGTAATGTATTTTCTGTCTCCTTACTTGCCTTCGTAGTGTAAGTAAAAAGCGCGTCCGGCTAGCAATCGAGAGGTCTGAAGTTCGAATCGTGGTGAGGGCATTGCACAGTTTTCGTCTTTCCTGATTTGTTAAAACCTAAAACACTTTACAAAATTGTTAACTTATGATGAAACTGAGAAAGAACAAAAAGCAACTATGGAAAGTGCAAATAATAATGTTTGTAATTACTATAATATTAAAAAAATTAGAGTTATTATTTGCTTCTATTGGTAGATGATAGCCAGTTTTATTTACTTATTTATTTATTTTTTTGGTATGTGTGTGTATGTTATGACATATTAGCCAGTTTCTGCATTTTTTTTTTTTTTTTTTTTTTTTTTTTTTTTTTTTTTTTTTTGTAAAATAATGCACTTTTTTTATCGAATGAAATTTATCGAATTTTTATCGTTTTATGAAAAAACAACGGATTTAGCGAACCAAGCTTTCGGTCCTTTTGGAGTTTGTTATAAATCTGATTGTATACATGTATAAATCTATCCAATTAAATGTAAAATACGAATCATTTTAATAATAACCAGTACATATCAGTGGATAAGTGATCTATCACAGCAGAAATCTGACATTTCAATAAAAGTAATCAACAATTTCTTTTTCTCTTGGCTCTGATTTTAACTTAGAAGCATGTTGTCCCTTTATGTTCCTAAATTTTTAGTTTCAACGTCCTTTCTTGTAGCAGAGCCTAGTCTTTCTGCCTTTTATTTCAGTTATTATGAATATTTATTTAAAGAAATAATTAGAGATGGTATTTTCAGTACCTGCTACCCTTATTATATTTATTTCTAATAAATACAAGAAAATGGCTATTGGAGACCCATGCAGTGAATAACGAAAAATAGTTGCAATTATTCTCTGAATTGTTTAATTCTATTTTTACTATATAAATGGATAAAAAGAATCCCTGTTTTATCTATTTAAATCTCAATTGCTTCCAGTTGGATTTAATAATAACATTATCATTTATGTATAACTTAAAGTGCTCTTCAAAGAAGAATAAATGAAGCGAATGTATTCATAGAATGCTTAATTAGACATAGATATATATTCTTCGAATAGTATATGGCAATACGCTGTTCATCGTATATTCTTCGAATTGTATATGGCAATACGCTGTTCATCGTATATTCTTCTCATTACGGTGCTATTTTCTTTTAAGTATGCGTTATATTTGATTCATTATATTTCTATTAATAGACAAACTCAATCATAGAATTCTTTTAATCATAAAATTATTTTTGTATAGAAGTGGCAAATTTCAACTTATATTACAGATTCTTCCTTTTACAATTTTGTGGAACACCCATCCATGAGCGAAATAAAGCAGAGATCAGTTTTCATTCACGTTGATGTACCTGGACAAGAAGACCATGCTCCAGATCTTCCGAATGAGTGAGTAATTTTAAAACATATTTCTAATTGGTTTTCATAGTAATACATCTTCCTGTGGTTTAGTCAGAAGGAAAAAATTACTTTGTATTTAGTAATGACAAATAATTAATTTGCAGTTATTAATGACAAATCATGTGAATTTTGGTTGTAGACTGGAGTTCAGTGTTTTCGGACAACATAACAAATGCTTAAATAACAAATTAGATGCCGCTTTATACAAGCTAAGGTGATTTTAAGGAATAAAAATAAGTGCCGGCGTTTCTTTATTGGGTTTTTTCCTAATGTTTTTGAAGGGTAAGCAGTAATCTGTGTTTCAAACTTAGACATCAACTAAGCCGATTATACCTTCAAAATTAAGTGGAATTGACTTGCTACACTCAATGTGAAAAATGGTTCATTTACAGAAAATAATGAAACTAATTTTTTGAAGCAACAGTTTTTATTCAAGTACTCTATATGCGTCTTTAATGTAAAGCAAACATTGTCCAAGAATTTTGTTTAATTACCTTGTAAATTTTCTAAGCATTCGGTAGCATTAATTCTATAAATTGCAAATAACAACGGTTGGCTGTAAGTAGTAAATTCATTTTAAAAATGCCACTCTGGTAATCATATTGATAAGTTTTAACAGAAAAACTTAAAATGCACTCCATATTAATAATTATGTATATGCACAACAGCTACAATTTTCGGGTATAATGTGCAGAATACTTTAACTAAAGGGTATCATCTAGTTCTTTATTCTAATTTCACTTCAGCTCAGTTAAACTTGTTTTCCTTTGGCGAGTTTTCGCTCTTAGCAGAATTCAAAGTAAGCGTATCATCAAAAAACATTAACAGAAATGTAAAATGTACTTAAAAGTACTTGTACGTAACATGAAGTTACACAAAATAATGTAATACAACTAACTTAAGATTACCACACATCTTGCAGAAATTATAGTGCAACAAAACTACAGTGACAATTTCAGCGCCGTCCAACCGGGATAGTGTTTAGCGACGCTGATTGCCGTACCGAAGGGCCAGGATTCGAATCTCGGAGGAGGCATGGATGTTTGTAAATGTATAGTGTCTATGCCGCATGGGGGGCATTCTAAATATGCGGCAAGCTGAAAGTCCTTTGGAGAGATTGGTGGTAGGGGAAGAGGAGGGGGAGACCCTCGGAACCGTCCCCGAGGGTGCTCTCCATCAAAATTTGGTGCGGAACTGAGCGAAGTCGTACTGTCACCAGTATGGTGCTCAAGGCTCTTGCCAACGACAGCCGCAATCTTACGCTCCTTGCCACAATGAAACATTCGGGGGCTTGTTCTGGTGCTATTATCAGAGAATTGAAATAAGTCACAACAACAATTTCGGCAACACTTTATTGCTCTTGAGAGCTTTTTTATCTAACTCAAATGGAATTAATAGGTAAAATTGTGTTATTTCTGCATGGCAACTTCCCAATAAGATAAGGCACTCATAAGTCCTAAGTTTACCCTGTGACGTTTCGTCTTCTTTGTAGAAACTAGAAATGAATTATCGCTGTCTTGTAATAAGTACCACAGAAGCAGGGAAAGAGTTTAAAGGACCCATTTATTTGAGTCAAACAAAAGTTAAGAGACGGCTTCACTCGTGCTTACAAAAGCCAACAATTTTGGCCTAAATCAAAGATAATAGATTAACTTAAACTAAGAAAAGTAAGTTAGCCTAAGAACTGCACAATTAGAATAACGCGCAAGTTGGCTGTGACCTAAGGTCGGCTTAAGAAGCCTAATGGCAAGAATAACGCAACGTCGCAGAATACTACTTAGCAAGAGAATCAATTTAGCAGCGTGGCCTTCAGTTGGAAGAACAGGCTGTGCTTCTACCATCTGAAGCCTTCCTTTAATTCGCTCTTATTTCTACCTCATTTGAATATCGCGCGAATAAATAAATATAAATTTACATTCTGGTAGGAAAATGGAAATGAGAAGAATGGGAACGCAATTTAACATAAAATGAATGGTTAGAAATTAATCGATTCCCTACAACCGAGTATACTGCAGCAGTAATAATTAACAGCAGTAATAATTAACCACATGTGTGCTAGTTTCTTCTATTTTAATTATAAGTTTTTTTTATTTGTTTTATTCTGGACAGAACTTCCGCGCCTTAGGAATAGAAAAAAAACGATAGAAGAGTGTAACAAAAATGCTAAATTTTAACTTTTTAAATGCATTCCTTTTTGTGACATTTACTTCTTATTGACAAGAAGATTGGTAGTACCAAAACAACAATTACCACAGATACGCTGGCTATTCAAGACCATTTGCAGAAGCTTTCATATACAGCAAATTACCGTTATAACTCTAATCTTTAGGTACTTCAACTCTCTAGCTAACTGTACTTTCTCAACAGATTTTCCAGTGAATTTTCAAGGTATGGAGATTCATTATTTCAAGATACGTGCAATTATTTCAAGATACGTGCAATAAATAACAAAATTATGGCAAAGTATCGTGTAAAGTACTCGGCAAACTATGCGAGAAGATTGTAGTTCTTAAATAAATTAATATGGTCATGAATGCCTGTGACGATTAATGTTAATGAACCGGTTGTGATGTCACATTAATACATGTGACTTTTATGGGGCTTGTTAATTCTTTGCGAAAATTCTGTGTGTTCTATGTAATAATAATTAAAAATATAAATGTAGCATATTAGACACGGACTGTTCGAAAAGGTGGCTGCATGGTTTCTTAAACACTTAAAGTAAACAGCTTTATGAAGCAGTTTCAAAACTGTGGATGAGAATGTTGTGTAAATAATTTCTGCTGTATTAAATTTTACATGGTCACTGTTAATCAAAAAATTTAATTGTTAATCATCCATCTTGTTTTGCTAAATTAAATACAAAAAAGTTCCATATTTGTGTTTTGCAACCGCGGAGTTATTCGACAGCAACTTGTTAATATAAATCACGTTTCAATGATAAGAGTAGAAGCTGGAAACTTTTCGTTCAAGTTTAAGGGGTCAACTACGAAAAAAAAAAATTGCTCAGTTTAACTGTATTAGGTAAAACAGAACTCGTTGTTAAATTTGTAACTGGTCATGTAAAAATACTAATCCTTTGCATCCGGGGCCTATTTCGCGCGGAGTAGTAGTAACTCGAGACGTTTCGCAGCCTTTTTGACTCATTTCTTACCAATAACTTTAAATCCTTACACACACAAATTAATGCATAAAATTTTTATTTCTTAATATTTTATATAACTTTACACCTTTATAAACATAATTCCTTAAATATTAGCCCCCGTAATTTTTCTGTTTATGATATTTCATGTAACAATTCCCAAGATGCATGGCATGCCCGGCTTATCGGGGCAAGTATTACAATAAAATGCCGTTTGATACCTTTTTCCGGGTTCATTTCTCTGAAAACAGACTTTGTGATAGATAAGAAAAGATTTCAGATAAGAAAATCTTATCTCCATTTAGAGGGGTACCATTTCACACTTCATAACATTACACTGAAAGAGCGTAGGAGCCCACTTGGAAGAAACTAAACGTAAACAGTTATTGCCGCGCATCGAGTTTCCACGACAAACCAAGTGGTGACCGAGAGTCACCTTTCGAGTTGCGGCATCAAATCACATGGTGAGTGAGAGTCACTTCTCGAGTGCAAAGTACCGTCTTTGCGAATTTTCATATAGGACCAGGCCCACCAGTGGCCGAGCGGTAAAGTCGCTGAACACTGGTAGTTCGGTGCGATGTTTGAATCCCGCGAACAGGCTGGCTGCATGGGCGTTTTCGTGGTTTTCCCCATGTGTAACGTGTATATGAGCCAGTTTCCCTTAGAAAGTCCTCCACGAAGGCATCCCTTCCCTTAGGCAGATAGCCCTCGAGGCTTTGCCATAGTCACACTCATATAGGACCAGTTAACCGCAATGAATATTTTACTAAATGGAACTTCCGCTCTGAGAGAATCACGTAAAAAATTAAATTCTCTGCTGTTTACGGAATCATTCCGCCAATAGTTTTGAAACAACTTTCATATCATTCTCTAAGTTATATCGAGAAACTACTCTGTACCAGGAAGTTCATACCGAGGACCAGTTTTAAAAAAAATAAGGCATGTAGCTTTTTTTTTTTTTTTTTTTTTTTTTTTTTACTTCTGTGTAATGCCCACAACAGGATACGAACAGAAGGGTTATGTACTTGAGCTTTAAGTAAATTTTCCAAAAATTTTCAAAAATCTACTTTGAAGGCAACAGATTGGCCTAAAGCAATGACTCATTATTAAATTATCCCGCGACGTAGACTTGAAAACTGGTGCATTGTTGCAAACGATAAAAGAATGAGATATTTCAATGATTTTTAATATCCTTAGATAGTCAAGATTTATCATCTCATTAAGAATCAATAAATCGCTTTCCAGCTTCTTTGTTAGAGATAGAGAATGGACGTGCAATATCCATTCTCAAAATGGATATTGCAAATGATGGTCAGTACAAATGGAAACATATAGAATCTTTAGAGCCTCTAGACAGATTCAACAGCTTGTCTTTTTAATAAACATAGTAAGTTCAAAAAAAGGAAACCACTCTTAACTCTCACAGTTCGCCTGTACTATTCAAATGTAACACTGAGCACAAAAAAAAAAAAAAAAAAAAAAAAAAAAAAAATTGTTGGACAGTTCTATATTTCGCGTTCTACTGGGCCGATTTTCAGATATGTTTAGAAATACGTCTACTTTACAATGATGGTAAAAAGTTCATAGATTACAATTCAAAATTTTTTTGAAAAAAATATAAAAATTATTTTAAAATGCAAATTTAAAAAATAAATCATAAAAAATGGGTGAATTTTATTTGGAACGAAACTGAATTTCGAAATGTGAAAGGAAGAATCAAATAAGTTTAATAAAAAAAGAGAGATTAATAAATATATACCAAACTCAATTAACATTGAGGAGCTACTTTTTTAAAAACTACTCGTGCGATTTTTACAAAACTTGGTAGTGTGGTGTAATTTGAGTC